TCAATTTGTGGTCATTTATTGATCGCTATGAGTTTCGAATCATCCTTGTCCTTCCTCGCTTCTCCTTTTCTCTTCTTCCTTCACCCAATATCATACTCAACTAATCTGACTCTAGTAAACTCTGCACTTCATCTGTTTTACTTCCCCTCAAAATCTTACGGATTCCTATCTATCCACTCTGGAAATAGCTACTTTTTTACCGTCTTCACTTAAGGATACCTATATTCCCATAAGGATCAGCTTTCTTATGTCTTGACATTACTCTTTCGTGAAATCTACTCCAGTTCTGTAAAGTAGTCGAGATTATTCTTACCTAAAGCTTGAGCAGATTGGTCGTTGCTTTTCAAATTTGTCACAGAAGTGCGTTACGGCTTATAAATATGATTGCTTCTGTGTTTTTGAGATTACTTGGACCATTCAGATTTTAGTCATATAGCAAAATATGTTTAATTTTATCTGACCCAAGGGGACTATCAAAGCAAAAATTCTTTGGAACAAACAAACCTCTTGTCTTTCAACGACATTTTTATATGCTTTCTCAATGTTCATACAGAGCAGATATTTACAATACGATTTTTTCAGACTAAAAATAGAACTTTGCTCATTTTACGCTTGCTGCAAAATCACATTGATTAAGGTTTTTTTGAATAGTGAGCCGGAATCTTTGTGTGTCCTTGATTCTTTGTATTTCACAGCTTTTCCAACGGCTCACTCTTGCAATTTTTGTGGACGAAGTAATGTTACCAGTACTCTGAAAGCATTATGGCGTTCGATAAGCATTTGAATTTCACTGGATGTTCATATCAGTAGTGGAAATAATATCGGTCATTTATGGCGGTCCTTTTGGCAAAACGAATAAATAGTACTGTTAGCTGTATTCAAAAATTTCAGAAAAGAAAGTCATCACAGACGTAATCACATTCTTATTATAGAGAGGCCCCAAAAGTACATATGTATACACTGTTTGATCATTGATATCTCTCTTCCTAAGAAGTCTTTTACCTACCTTAAGTTACCATTTTGTAGAGCTGGATTTAACTTACATTAGATTTACAATGTGGAGCGAATCACCGATCATTCTTCATTACTGTAGGATTGTAGAAACTTTTGGCTTACAGCTTCATTATGGATGAGTCGTGTGTCAAAAAAAATTTCAAAAGCTTTGAGAAGTGGTGTACCAAGTATTTCACACGCGCTTATCTCACTACTCAACTTTCTAGGAGTTTGTAGAGTTTTTTAAATGGTCTGATTACAATTTTAGGGAGCATTGCAAATATAGTTTTTACGGTTCACCTGGCATAAGTTATGAAGGAAACATTGCGGTTGAGACAAAATTTATACTTGGTTTTAGCGACTATAACAATCCTAGTACAAGCGTTTCCAGATTGTTTGGTTTGATTTTCAAGAGAAATAGGGCCTTCAATGGCTCGAAACCGTTTTTTGAAGTTGCCGTCGTAATCCTACAGTAATGAACAAAGATCAATAATTCGCTCCTTACTGTAAGTCTAAGTTGAAGCTAGCTCTACAATATGTTGCCTGAAGGTAGTCAAGAAACTTTTGAGAAAGAGAGATATCAACGATCAGACAGTGTATACATACTTTTGAGAATCCCTATACATCACTGTTAACAAAATTGTTCTGAACTGTTTCTTACCCAAAACTGCTTCAAATTTCATCTGTTTGGCTTGCCGTACTGTCTTAGGTGCATGGCTTTTGGTTGTCTGACGATAAATCATAAGGCATGAGACGGATCTTACAAAATTGTGTTTCTCAATGGATGGCTGAAAATCCAAATTTCACGTGCAATCACGAATGTTTGCTTTATTGTTACCTTTTTCCTGAATAAATAAAGCTGCCAGACGCACTTACAAGATTTTGTCGTAGATTTTCATAGAACTGCGGAACCATCCGTGTGGCTAGCATCTGTGCAATGCTTAATCGTGCAAAAAGACCGTATGCACCTGTAATTTATTGTTCATAAGTAGCTTTTGTGATACAGATGTAATAGCTCTAAGTGAAAAAGTAAAATTTTTCACTTTCAGCAGTAACCGTTGCTAACTTTTCTTAGCTACATATTGTTGATTTCCGTCTGAACAAACTTCTCCAGATTTCTGGTGAGTCATACTCTCGCTGCTATCTAATATGCGCTCAAATTTTGACTTTTTCATTTTTTCGCAGCCCAAACACTGCTTACGGTCATTGCTTGCAATTTTCAATGACATCTTTAACACTGATTCAACAGTTGTCAAATCGCTGTCAAATTTTATCATATACCCGTGCTAAGGCCCGACACGATGTGACATCTGAGGATCTTAGAAACGAAGTCCTCTTTGACTCTTCAAAAATTTACAACAACCTTTATTTTTTGCTGTGGATTATAATCTGCACCAAAAATAAGTGGGTAAAGGAAAGAAAAAGCAAAATTAGAGATAAAACCAAACAACAGGAGGCGAAAAAAGGAGGTTTTCTATATATCAACGGCCCTAGCAAAGCAGATGGGTCGAAACTTGGGTTATAAGGTAAGAACTCATAGGTAGAGCTTGCACTAAACAATAGATTTATGTAAGAACATTCTGAAAACTATGTGAGGAAAGGGGCAAATAATAACTTTGTTTGGCCTTGCCGCGGGAGCAACCTAAAATGGAAAAGACTTGTAACTCCTTCCATTCACATCATTTTCAAAATTCTTGATATTTTTGTTTTGATCATCGTCGCGTTTCCATCCAAAAAACGACATCCACGGTGTGAAAGCGCTACCTCTGCTGAACCCTGACCTGTGCTTTTGGTATTTGCAGACATTCTCTCACTCAGTGAAAGGTGCTTAGAATCGTTTTTTTAAATTAAATCTTTGCCTACCCCAGACACAATTTATGATGATATTTTTTCAAAACATTGCCTAGTAAACATAAGCGCTTTGTGGCAAATTTTTCGCTGAAGTGAAGGGAGCCGAGAGCGTGGAAGACTTCCGATTGTCGATTTCCGGCCTTAGGTGAGTTAGACAAGTCTTTGTGTCTTTTATGAATCCGTTCTTTCTTTAAAAGTTGTTAGTTCTTTCTGCAAGCTTTCTCTAGATTTGTAAAATTTTGTTATCGATTTTCCTTTCCTTTTACATCTGTTTTCCGTATCTCAAGCCCTTTACTGTACGCTTTTACAGCTAAATATCTTTATCGTAACCAGTGCCTCGAAAGAAACCAAAATCTTATTTTCTGCATTACCTTGGAATGAACTGAACGGGAACTACTAACTTTACTAGAATTCCCGCCTCTACTAGCCTGCAATTCAGATTTTCCATAAGTCATAAATCATCTACGAGTTTTATGAAGCTCTACATCGAGATTGAAAACCTTCGTATGTCAGGCTATCGCCATTTTAAATCTATGAAGTTTGCTGGCTAAGTGTCGCTGCTCTCCGCTTTCTCCAGATTTCAGAGATTCATTTGTTCGAAATTTCTGATGCGTTTTTGCAGATGTATCTATTAGCAATTTTTTTTATTTATTCAGACTGATGAAGATATGTAACCTCTGTCGAGAAAAGAATAACTACCGTACAATCAGGAATGTTGAAAAATTCATAGATAACCAATTTTGAATTCGAATCGTTATGTTCATTCTTTTCTGATTTGTGGAAGATATTATCTAAAGGCCATAATATCATAGTGCTGAAAACGTTTTCGGTATGGCTTACAATTTTTTTCTTCCAAAAGTGGTTACCAAATTAGTTTTTGATTGATTGGACTGCTGTTTTAGAAACTTTTTAATAAGTTTTGAAGTTCTAATGTGAAAATATGTTCTTTGTTAGGCTCATTATTTCATTATTTTTACTTCTACGACCCTCTAAACTGCTTCATGCTATAAACAAGTGAATCAACGAATAAAATAAATACTTTGCAAATAAGTCACTGCTTGAATTTCATTTGAATTATCTTTATCCTTTTCCGCTCTGTTCCTCCCCATCCCCCTACCTTACTCCGTTCGGCCCTTCCTTCTTCTTTATGGATCCGAACATTTATGGTGAGAAGTACATAATTTTCACCAGATTTCGGATGTTCAGTCATATTCGTTATCGCTTTCATATTCTTCGTCTCCTGTACATTACTGGCTCCATAAACAAAGAAAAAATAATCTTACGGAATTTCTACTTTTCGATTATTCCCTCCCCCTCCTTCCATAACTTTTCATATTCTCAACTTATACTGGATAACTATGACCAAATTGTCGTAGTCGAACGGGATGCATATGCTTGTCGAGTGGACGAAACCGATGCTAAGCCGGGACGGGTCGTCAGCTTTCCCCGGGGACTGGCGATAATCGACACAAATCCTTGTTCTTACTTCGTCTAACTGCATGCCTACCACATCGCTCGAGGATCTTACCCGTCAATCTTCATTTGTTCACATTTACCCGGCTGGGTAATGTTTAGGATTTGACAAGGCATAAGGGCGGGTTTTTCTGGGTCTTTGTTTTACTTCACAGGCGGAGCTTTTTTTCCAGGATTTTTTTTCGTGCCAAAAGATTCAGCTTTGGGAAATTTGGGTAATGTTCTTCTCAAGCTGCGCTGGTTCCTCCTAGCCAAATCAACCCAAAAATTTTTCAGTGAGATTTTTGCAATTTCCCGATTCCTTGAGCAGGTGTGATGATGAGCATACGAACAGAATAGCTAGTGTCTCGAACACCTGACATTTATCACACCTATAGTATTCGTTTGCACCCACACTGGCACTTGGCTCGGCTTTCCTTCTTTTTCTTTTTTTTCCTTCTTTTTTCCAGCGAGGAAATGCCGAACCTGAGAACTTCCGCCAAGAAACTTTTGTGGTTTTTCTCTATTCGTTTTAGTATTTCAGCCTAAATTCATGAATAGCCATTTCGTAAGAACTTTCTTAACCCAATATCCTTCACTTCCTACTTTTTAATTTCCAACAATTTCTTCGAATGACGCGAACCTAGTGTCCTATCAATCGTCTCGTCTTCATGTGTGCCTTTCAATCACCTTTAGGTTATGGTATGGGCATCGAGGATAAGCTCATTAGCTACAGTATGCTAACGGTGTTTTTAACGTTCAGTATTTTTAAACTCGGGAAAGCACAAGATATAGGTGAGTTTTTAAAAATGTCCACGGGATTATGAGTTGCAATACTCGGAACATCTGCTCTCATGCAGGATTTTATAATTTTCTCTTCTGTAGTCTACAGATTTAGATTGTGAATATCCTACTCTCGGATAGTTTCTTCAGTTTTAACCCAAAAAATCACTTTATATCCGCGCTGTAATGCCGGATTACAAAGTTAAAAAATTTTGAGCTTGACTCTCCTTCTGTTGGTAATTCTCCAGTTTCCACCTTCTAATCAATTTATGGAAGTTTTAAAAATCCGTCTCCCAATACAATATGGCGGATAATGCTCGACGCAAAGTGTAAAGTCGCAAAGATCTCTTGCGAATGATCATTAGCGCAACCAAATGATAGCAATTTCCAATTGATTTATGCGAATAATCATTTCGCTGAACGATCGGGTTGATAAAGTGGTTCTAGCAAGCCGGGAACTTCGATTTCCTTGCAAAATTCATAAACGTCTTTCAAGATGTTTTATGAAATTGATAGTATGGTAAAACTGTCGGAAGCTACAGTTCAACAGCTGCAGGATTCATTTCTGAAATTTGAAAAAAATAATGGAAGGTTCCTAGAGCAAAAAATCAGTTAAATATCGTTTTAGGTTCACTTCCGCGCCAAATCGAGTGCTTCTCCTGTATGTCCTTATCGTATCAAACCAGCTGGAAATATCTGCAGAGTATCTACATCTATCCAAAGGTTAGTGGTTTGTCCATTATTAGACAATCTGAGACCCCTGTAAGATTTACGAGTGTACTTGACTGAAGTATCACGACAAGAAGTTCCTTGTTAAACTAGAGGGGGATGAAGGTCTAGCTTTCCAAACACTTATTACCTCCTTATGAATCCAGAATAAGATATCATTTTTGATGTTGTCATTCTCACAAACCTCTGAATCACAGTAAGTTGATGTTGTTTTGCTCTTGCCACTTCCAGCCCATATATTTTGTAATTTACCCTATTTCGGTGAATTCAAAAGCGATACTTCGATCGGCTTATGTATTTTCTAGAGTTTGAATTTTGTATTTGTTACATTTCAACAAAATTATATTGATAGCGTCTTCAGCTTAGGGTATGAACATCGGAGAACATCGCAAATAAGGTGAAATGAAAGATAATCAATATTTAGCTCTCAGATTGTTCATTGTTACCATTATTAATTAGAGTATGCCTCCTCCCCTAAAAGTAGACTGCGTTCTAAGCTCACCGTATGATTATACGGTTTATCTGCCTAACTACAGCCACTGATAGCGGAAATTTTTGCCCATTCGAATAGTAATAAAAAAAAGAAAATTTTGGTCATGTTCTGTAGCATTTTTTCAAACGACGGTCATATCCCGCAACAAGGATTCGTAAAAGATCATGGTCATAATCGAAACAGTTTCTCATCCTCTTTCGAACGCTCGTGCTTTCATATCTTTCTACCGACAATCTACCAGACAATCACCAGGATCTGAAACCAATGGTTCTTCCTAAAGTCATGTTCGTTATCTTTCTACATTTTTATACCGGCTCTCTATCTCAAATAGCATTAAAGAAAACAAATCGATGGCACAAATAACTTTCTACTAGTTGGTAAACCCGGCTCCGTCCGGCCCTGTCAATAACATATTTGTAATCAGCATGCTCAATTACCCCCCTTTGCCAACTCCCAGCCCCGTAGCTCAAATTTTGCAAAAAATCAATAAAATCGATATCGATCGATACAAAAAGTAGCCTATGACACGCTCCCTGCCTCGAAGTGTATGTGTGCCAAGTTTGGTCCAAATCGGTTCAGAAATAAAAATTTCTATTCCGCACATACGTACAGACAGACATACACACATTCAGCTTTATATATAAGATATAACTTTTTTTAGCAATCTGAAAGATGATTTTTCATAGGCAATGGCTTTTTGAATAAATTAAATGTAGATAGTTAACTGCATCTCGTTCCTGAAACTTTCAAATTTTTGAGCGTCCAACTCTTGATCATTGTTAAAGTCTAATCATACAATTGCCAAGCTTTATTCGCTTCAAAAAACTGTAAAAGTGTCCCATGCAACCACGAGCTGACTTATGTGAAAAAATCAGGATTCTGTGGGCAAAAACACCTTCAAAAAATCAAAGATTAGTAACCAGTACAAGCCTGGAAGAAAGCGAATTGTACTGTTAGGTTTGGCTTATCTTTGGTTGTATCGTTGCTAAAGATTTGAAAGAAACAAAAACAAAGAAATAAATTTGGTGATGGTATGTTAAATGATCAGCCAGAGAGCCAGAAAGGAAGAACATACATCAGGTTTGCTCTGTTTGCCCATCGATGATTCTTTGCTGAAACTTTGTAACAGAATTTTTGTAAAGTCCAGTAGTCAGTGGTTAGTTGATAACTTCAGATTTTTTGGACCACGGAAGGTTCCAATTTGAAAACATATTTATAAGAAAGAGGAAGAAAGCGCTCCTAATTCCGAGATTTGTCGCTCAAATAAAAATTGTCAGTTATTTTCGGACCTAACAGAAAGGCCAAAGAATGAACAAATACAGTGCTGGCCAAAACTATAGATCCACTATAAAAAACTGTCGTAGTTCGTCTGCTTCTCAACGAATTGATCTGAGATTTGGTACAGTTGTGTGTTCAACAGGCATTCATCAGTGACCGGAGCGGATTCAGCTTTCGTTAGATTATTCAGGAAAAAAATTAAAAATTTCGAAAAAAGCAGGCTCGAAAGTTGGCCAAAACTATAGATCCACCCAAAATTTCTGCCTGCTAACGTGATTCTTAGCTTCCAAAATCTTTTGTGCATAAACCTAGTCGAAAGTCAAAGCAGTGGGTTTAGTTCAGCTGCGTCATACCTTTATAAGAAACGCTTATCTGCTTTTTTCCACTCAAAAACTGCTCTCATGCGTATTTTGTTCCCGAGAATGTGTTTTTATGAGGATTCCGCACTTTTTTGACTGGTTTGAAAGTGATAGGGCTCCATCTATCTTATAGATGCTTAGCAGCGTGAGCAGTAAAAAAAATTCGGGTTTTCGTATCCAAAGCGCACCTGACACAGACATAACCGTAGGCCTGCGCTCGAATTTTTGCCTTCAAAATTGGTATCCGCTATTTTTATAAGCTCAAAATAATGTAGAAGCATTATTTAGCATTATTCACCTAAAAAGAAGTTTGTAAACTATAGTTACGATTGCTTGCGAAGTCGCACTTTAATTCTTTTTCAAAGCATAAGTCTTGCGGTGTGTTCGGCAATCTCAAAGTACTTACCAACTGGTACCTTCTTTGAATTTTGCCACTTTTTAGCTGCTAACTATTGAATACACCCTGCAATATATGTTGCCTTGTGATTCACATGAGCATTATGGTCAGAAGCAGAAATAACTTCAAGGCTTGTTGCAAATCACTTTTTGCAGGATGAAGTCCTCAATTAACCTGCATACTAGGATCTGCAAAAACCTGCAATCACTGCATACGGACTCTCATACATACCAACAATGTATCTACTCCAGTTCACGCTCATGACAACGTTGCAGAAAGAGCTTGAAGGCATAAATTTGAACGCAGGCCTGCGGTTAGGTCTATGTCAGGTGCGCTTTAGATACGAAAACCCGAATTTTTTTCTGCTGCTCACGCTACTAAGCATCTATAAGATAGATGGAGCCCTATCACTTTCAAACCAGTCAAAAAAGTGCGGAATCCTCTACAAAAACACATTCTCGGGAACAAAATACGCATGAAAGCAGTTTTTAAGAGGAAAAAAGCAGATAAGCGTTTCTTATAAAGGTATGACGCAGCTGAACTAAACCCACTGCTTTGACTTTCGACTAGGTTTATGCACAAAAGATTTTGGAAGCTAAGAATCACGTTAGCAGGCAGAAATTTTAGGTGGATCTATAGTTTTGGCCAACTTTCGAGCCTGCTTTTTTCGAAATTTTTAATTTTTTTCCTGAATAATCTGGTGAAAACGGAATCCGCTCCGGTCACTGATGAAAGCCTGTTGAACACACAACTGTACCAAATCTCAGATCAATTCGTTGAGAAGCAGATGAACTACGGCAGTTTTTTATAGTGGATCTATAGTTTTGGCCAGCACTGTATTTGCTTACTTTATAGTATCGATTTGGAGCGCTATCAAGAGTCAACCCTAACGAAGCATTGTGAGTCACGATTTTCCAAATTCTAGGTATTCACAGATCGGTGTCGAGATCCAGGCAATGAACGTGGTATGCCGACAGTTCCATGTTCAACAGTATGTGTATCATTACTGGAACCTGACATAGAAGCTGGTGAGCCCTTACCTCCTCGAAATTGTTTGCGCACCACTAAAAAGAGCTAATTCTGTATTTTAGGTGTATTTATCGGCTATAAACACATACGAGGATGTATGGATCGAGTTTTGCGGCACGGTTTCAATCAAACCGCTCTTCGAACACATCGATTTCATCATCATGTAAGAACATTTATAGGCGAGTCATCGCACGCAAAGAAAGGCGCGCTGCGGACGTTGTCTGCGTCTCACTGCTCATGCGCTTCTTTATTCCTTCTGCAGTCTGCCTCCTCCAAGTACAAGCTATCTCAATGAGACGTAAAGGCGTCTAGGCTTTGCGTGCGATGATTCGCCTATATTCAATCTGCGTGCGGTTTTTTACCCCTAATTTTTCAGAATCAATGTCGGACCTTATCCCGAGCATCCCTCTTCAATCCAGCTAGAGCAAGTGACCCACCAGCGATTGGAGATGTACAGCTTTGTAGCTGTTATGGTGACCGGTGTAATGGCAGCAATCCGGCTGCCATTTCAAGCACTTCAACTGCACTGGTTTTAACTTTGATATTAGCCTGGATTTTGCAATAGCACGGCGATTTCGTAGGAGAGATTGTTGTAATGCGCATAATTTACGAGGTCACTTCGATATTTGATTGAGTATTATAATTTGTAAGATGTAATGTAATGTAACATCCGTTTTGTAACCACTCTCCCTCAAAAGGTTTCTATACTATGTGTCACATTTGCAATAGTTGCCCAAGTCAAATTCGTCAAATGTTTTGGTATAGTCTAATCTCACACGAGGGCGCATGCACAAGCGCACGCGGACGCGCCGCGGCTCGCGCTTACACGCTGCAACGGCGGTAGGCACACGCCATACTTATACACTTCTTCGCTTCGAAACAAAACGGCATTACACTTTTGGATGAAGTGGAGATGAATTGGATGAATATGGTATGTGCCACAGGTACACTGCCGCCGCGTTAGTGACCGCTTCGCATAGATGTCATCCGCCTTCGTCCGGGATTAAACCTTATTTATATTATACACTGATTTGAACCATGCTCAGGTTTTCTTCAAATAACCTTTCTGAAAGTTGAAGTCAACTAATTGAGTGGATTATTAATTGATTAAATTACTATTAAATTAATTAAAAATCCGCTGAGCACTAGAAAAAAGTGTACACGATCCTACCGTATATCCACCGTACTCCCTAGTGGAACAGAACTGACTAGTCTTTTATGCGCTAAGATCTTCTTTCTTTTGCTCTCGGGACTCAAGAAAACGCTTTCTAGGTTTCGAACACCCATTATACTTTCATCTCTTTCCTTTCACCCTCACCTTCCCCCCCCCCACCTTAAAAAATTCGCATGCAGCATTGACGTCAAGATCTATTGGTCATGCTCTTTAATGTTACAATAACTTACGATTCAGATGTTTTTGATCCTCTTTCTTTTCACCAATTGCCTTGCTCATTTACATTGTAGTCTTTCCTAGTAATTTTGATGAGATCTCTCATTTGTGCATCTACTCATTGCAGAGTTTATTTTGTTTTACGGGTTTTGTATGTTTGCAGCGATTTTGTTCCGTTACTGAATTTGGATGTGCACAAAATGAAGAAAAACTTGAATGTGAAGTTCTTCGCTGGTATTGCGTGCATGCCAGCTTCAGTGACTTCATTTATGTTTGCCATACTGTTTCCATTTGACAAAATAAAGTATAGTAAATTACTGTTGTGGTAGATATTGCATACAATTTTACTCAATAGAAACTCACCGTTGTTTGAAACATGGTCCGGCACGAGGTGGCTTTTCTATTTGCAAAAAACGAAGTTCCCTCTGACTATCGCAGAATCTTACGAAGTCCCCTTCGACCCAAAATCGGAAACGTCGACTAAAATATGTAAACCCAGTTTGTGTTCTTTCAGACCACAAAAACAATATCCCCTGTTCTTTTTGTCCCAAAAACGATGCCCAGCTTGCTCATAAGCCACCTGTACTGAGCCCTAGTTCGGAGATCGAACCTTGTAAGTGCTTTTTCAACCTCATTTTCAAGGAGCAAGAAGCAGAGATGATCATCGCGAACACGTTTAGGTAGAGAATTAGTGTGGATTTTTGAGAAAAATAAATAACAAACATGATTGATTTTTGAAACCCGATGAGCTGGTACTGCAAAAACTTATTAGTCCCTCCTTGGATTATCGAAGAGAATTTGCATTCACCTATTCTTTATCTACGTTACTATAGTCAGGGTGAAGGCTTTCCGAGCAAGTTATCTTCATTGTATACTTGAAAATTAGCTGTTTCTCTTTTAATTTGATTTTACATTTTTCCTCACTTTTTCTTCTAATTTCCTCCCGCAGACGCAACCTCTGCTGTATGCATGTAGAAGTCGCGCCGAAATAAAGTTTGGTGCGGGGAGTGCTAATAAGCTACTTCGCCCAAAATCACTGTTAGGCTTTTTGCTTTTTTCTGTGACCGACCCAAGATGAGAGGAAGAATCATAGGAATTAAACCTAACTTTGCAAGCTTAAGCGGAGAGGGTTGAATCTTGACAAGTTTCGCTAAAACAATCATTCGTTGTACTTAACAATTTATTGATTTCTCCGCTATGCTTTGAAGAGCTAGATTGGCAGATCGGTAAGTGAGCATGCTGAATACCATTAATAATTCTACAATATTTCATTCTTCTCTCCTTTTGTCAAATTTTTGTTCGAGCTTGTTTGTGTTTTATTCGAGCTCCGAATTACGGGGTACGTTTCTGTGCTGGTGATCATACGTCAAATATTCTCAAGAAAAACTATGGATTGCTTCGTCTAACTGAAGATCAACCATAGAATTGACTCCAAACTCTCAATAGATTTTCTAGTATTGACAAAGTATTCTGTGCCAAACAGGTTTGTTAGGTGATCTTTATTAATCCAATCGAGGCCTAACGTTTCGACGCCTTCGTCTTGGCCTCGATTGGATTAATAAAGATCACTTAACAAACCTGTTTGGCACAGAATACTTTGTCAATACGAACAATGCCCAGGTTTAAAGAAAGTGGAACTTGGAAGTTATTGGAAGATTTTCTAGTATTTTGTCAGTTAGTGGCGGTATTATTATGGATACAATACCATAACATCATTACGTTACACCTCGAAATTATTTTAATATTCTAGTAAACAGCCATTGTCTAGGAGAAAGCTTTTGAAAACACTAACTAATTAGATCATTAGTAACAACAGGATTTCTGCTTCCCTACATTTGCTTTTTAAAAACTCTTAAATGTAGACATAATTATTTAGCATTATCCCTTGAACTCTACAAACCAACTTCGAGTTTACTGCATTTTATCAACCCTTTTCTTTTACAACTCCGGTTCAGGCCTTGGTTTGATAAATGTCATAAACTACGAGTGTCGATTATTTCCGCCAATGAACGTGTTCACAATCTGACGTGAACAAAATTCATAAAGCTTATTTGTACTTTCAAGCCTCAGACTGTTCCGCATTGTTACCATTGACAACATATCAGGAAGTGAAGTGATAAATGCAAAGACGCAAAACTTCTGCGTGAGTTGAAGCAAAGAAGCTTTCTACATAAACCGCGTTGTTGTCTCCACACATTTCCGCAGCAGCTTTCGCACTGATTGCTTCGCTAAAATATCCCAAAAATTCGCCTTACTCAAACAGCCGGAAACAGCTTTTCATGCTGCAGCGAATGGTATGAAGCTTGTACAATACCGCTCACAGAATGTGCAGAATATCCATGAATATCGCGGAATTCTGGGAACTTGCGGAATCATGAAAATCGCAAACTACGCATCCCCATAATAGTGCTTACAGCAATCTTGTAAGTGCATTACATACTTGCGAGGGACGTCCGCAGAGGAATCTGAGAAAACTGGAAATGAGATACCAAGAACGTGCTGTACATGAAAAAAAATCCTTGATGAACTGAGCACAAAGCTTTTTCATATTTAGTGTATTCATTCCGAAGGAGGTTATGGCGCTGCGTAATTTTCGTGATTCGGTTCCGGGTTCCGCGAAATCCCCGGAATTTCGCGACATTCACGGAAATTTTGCACGCTTTGTGAGCTGTACTGTAGCTCTTTAGGGAAGGGAACCCTATTTACAAATAGACTTTGCCCATTTCTCGTAAGTGATTGCCTGATTAAAGTAAATGCTTGTGTGAAGTGAGAAAATGTGAGAGTCCTGTGCTAAGTAAAGCATTCTTACACTACTAACTACGAACAAGACATGAAAGAACGCGGAAGTATTGCTTTGAAATATACGAAGGTGAATACGAAGGGTAGGGAGCGTGTACTAAATCCCATAAAGGCTATTTTTCCCAGAAACTTATGTACTAGCCTCCTCCCACATTTCATGTTCCGACCTGTCTCAATCCCTCCGCGTAAGATTCCGAAAGAAAATCATAACAGTGGGCAGCAACATGGCAGCGTATTTTCGTTTGCATGAATGAAATTGCCAAAATCATCACAGTAAATAGCTTGTTAGGTGAACAAAGAGTGAAAAAAGATAAGCTCGTATCTCTTGAAACTTAAAGTTCTTCTTGCTTCTACTTCGTCACTTCTGATTTCAGCGGTGAAGCAATGAGGAATACTGTGCGTTGAGGTGCGAGCAAAGTACTGTACGCCATCTCCTGTGCACAATCTAGAAATTCTTACAAGGAAAGGATAATTGGTTGAAGTGGCGTTTCCGTATAAAATGCACACCGTTTTGTAGGTCATCAAATGCTGATTCATCTGCTTTCGGTATCTGCGAAGCGCTTCTGGGAAGGGAGTTCTGGGAACTTTAAAACAAAAATTTCAACGGGTAAATACATTAAAATCATTCAGAACTATAATCTGTGAGTTCAGTTGGGGCAATGATCACTGCCACCGCGCTTTATATAGTTGATATCTTCAGTATGGAGGGCGTGCAGGAGTTCCTAGCACGTTTTCTCGCACCAACTTCGCACCAGCATTCGCACCCAGGAGGGTTCTAGCACCTTCGCGCCTCAGAGGTCAGTCTCCGCCCATTGCTCCACCCATTCACTGGTCTCATTGTGAGGTGAGCCAGCAACGAGAACATAGATTCACTTATTAAGTAATATGAGAAAACATGGAGATGAACGAAAAGCATAGTTATCATCCCTCAGGTGAGGAGGCCTGGGAAGCTTCTGCTGCGTCAACCTGTCAAAAATGAATACATGAACATTATCCTCAGAAGAGAAAAATTGCACAGAATTTTTTTGAGTAGAAAACCCGCCCATTCGAAATATCAGAGGGTCTAGTTCTTCAGTTGTATCTTACTGGTCATCTGATTGAACTGATTTAGCACCAAGAATTTTTGATAAATGGGTGACCAGAAGTGGGCAAGAACCCGATTACCTTCTCAAAATTAGAAGAACCTATTTTGAAAGGAGCATACCAAAGTTCCCGGATAATCAACTTAACGTTTTCTGTAATAGCTAGGATATTTGAAAACATACACTTTCCTGCTTCCGCCTGCCATCATATATTCCAACTCAACTACACACTAACGATCAATAAAATCAAAATTATCAGAAATTTTCAAGTGTAGTATTCCCTATATTCGATGT